TTGTTTTATTGTACTTTTTTATTAAAAAAATTAATGCATTGTTGGTTAAGGGCTGTAAGTAAGTATTTCACGGTAATGTCTACAACAGTTGTATTCGGCGCATGTGGCCAATAAAATGTTATTTTATTTGATGCTGTGAGACATCAATGAGCATCTCTCCTCTCACACAGAGGGAGACAATTAAAACAGAATGCTTAATAAGTTAATATATAGCGCTAGTCTGTTCTATTTGGAACACCTCTCTCTCTTACTCCCCTCCCCCTCCCCCTCCCCCTCCATGTCTCTCTCTCTCCCCCTCCCCCTCCCCCTCCATCTCTCTCTCTCTCCCCCTCTCTCTCTCTACCTCCCCCTCTCTCTCTCCTCCTCCCCTCTCTCTCTCTTCCTTCCGTCGCCCCTCTCCCTCCTCTCTCGCTCTATCCCCCTCTCCCCTCCCCCCCTCTCCTCCTCCCTCCATCTCTCTCCTCTCTCTCCCCCTCCCCCTCTCCCCCTCCCCCTCCACCTCTCTCTCTATCTCTTCCGTCCCCTCTCTCTCCCCTCCCCTTTTCTCCATTTCCCTCCCCCTCTCTCTCCCCTTCTCTCTCTCTCTCCCCCCTCCCCCTCCATCTCTCTCCTCTCCCGCCCTCTCCCCCTCTCTCTCTCCTCCTCCCCTCTCTCTCTCTTCCTCCCCTTCTCTCTCCCCTCCCGCCTTTCTGTTCTTTCTCTATCCCCTCCCCTCTCTCTCTTACTCCCCCCCCTCTCCCCCTCAATTTCTCTCTCTCCCGCCTCCATTCCCTCTCATCCCACCTCCCCCTCCATCTCTCTTCTCTCTCAAACTCCCACTCCCCCTCTCTCTCCTCCCCCTCTCTCTACTCCTCCCCTCTCTCTCCTCCCCCTCCATCTCTCTCTCTTTCTCCCCCTCCCCTCCCTCTCTCTCTCTCTAACCTCCCCCTCTCTCTCTCTCTCCCCCCTCCCCCTCTCTCTCTTCCTTCCCTCCCCCCCTCTCCCTCCCTCTCTCACTCTATCCTTCACTCCCCCCTCTCTCTCCCTCCCTCCATCTCTCTCTCTCTCCCCCTCCACCTCTCTCTCTCCCTCCCCCTCTTCTCTCTCTTCTCCCCCTCTCTCTCTCTTCTCCCCCTCTCTCTCTCTTCTCCCCCTTTCTCGTATCCCTCCCCCTCCTCTCTCCCTCCCCCTCTCTCTCTTCTCCCCCCGTTCTCTATCACTCCCCCTCTCCCCTCTCTCCTCTCTCTTCTCCCCCTTTCTCTACTCCCTCCCCCTATCTCTCTCCCTCCCCCTCTCTCGCTCTCTTACTCCCTCTCTATCTCTTACTCCCCCTCTCTCTCCTTCCTCTCTCTCTACACCCCCCTCTCTCTTGCTCTCCCCTCCGTCCCTTCTCTCCTCCGCTCTCTCTTATTCCCCCCTCTTACTCCCCCCCTCTCCCTCTCTCTCCCCCCTCCCCCTCTCTCTCTCCCTCCCCCTCTCTCTCTCTCCCTCTCCCCTCCCCCTCACTCCTCTTACTTTACTCCCTCTCTCTCCCTCCTCCCCTTATCTCTCCGCTTATTCCCCCATGCTCTCTCCCCCTCCCCCCTCCCCCTCTCTTTCTTACAACAACACCCTCTCTCTCCCCCCTTTCCCTTTCCCTCTCTCTCCCCCCTCTCCCTCTCTCTCTTAACGCGCCCCCTCCTCTCTCCCCCCTCCCCCCTCTCTCTCTCTCCCTTCCCCCGTCTCCCTCTCTCTCTCTTACTCCCCCCCTCTCTCTCTCCCCCCCTCTCTCTCTCTCCTCCCTCCCTCTCTCTCTCTCCCTCCCCCTCTATGTCTCTCTCCTCCCCCCCCTCTCTCTCTCCCCCTCCCCTCTCTCTCTCCTCCTCCCCGCTCTCTCTCTCTTACTCCCCTCTCCCCTCTCTCCTCTCTTCCTCCCCTCTATCTCTCAATGCCTATTACGACAATGCCTATTACCCCTCAGGAGACTGAAAAGAAATTGGCATGGGTCCTCAGATCCTCAAAAAAATATACAGCTGCACCATCGAGAGCATCCTGACTGGTTGCAATCACCGCCTGGTATGGCAACTGCTCGGCCTCCGACCGCAAGACACTACAGAGGGGCCCTCAAAATTGTCAAAGACTCCAGCCACCCTAGTCATAGCCTGTTCTCTCTGCTACCGCACGGCAAGCGGTACCGGAGCGTCAAGTCTATTTCCAAAAGACTTCACAACAGTTTCTACCCCCCAAGCCATAAGACTCCTGAACAGCTAATCATGGCTACCCAACTATTTGCACTGCTTCCCCACCCCCACCCCATATTTTTACGCTGCTGCTACTCTCTGTTAATTATTTATGCATAGTCACTTTAAACTCTACCCACATGTACATATTACCTCAACTACCTCAACTAGCCGATGCACCCGCACATTGACTCTGCACCTGTACCCCCCCTCTATATATAGCCTCCTTACTGTTATTTTATTTTACTTCTGCTCTTTTTTCTCAACACTTTTTTTGTTGTTGTTGTTTTATTGTACTTTTTTATTAAAAAAATTAATGCATTGTTGGTTAAGGGCTGTAAGTAAGTATTTCACGGTAATGTCTACAACAGTTTGTATTCGGCGCATGTGGCCAATAAAAATGTTATTTTATTTGATGCTGTGAGACATCAATGAGCATCTCTCCTCTCACACAGAGGGAGACAATTAAAACAGAATGCTTAATAAGTTAATATATAGCGCTAGTCTGTTCTATTTGGAACACCTCTCTCTCTTACTCCCCTCCCCCCTCCCCCTCCCCCCCTCCATGTCTCTCTCTCTCCCCCCCTCCCCCTCCCCCTCCATCTCTCTCTCTCTCCCCCTCTCTCTCTCTACCCTCCCCCTCTCTCTCTCCTCCTCCCCTCTCTCTCTCTTCCTTCCGTCTCCCCCTCTCCCTCCCTCTCTCGCTCTATCCCTCTCCCCCCTCTCTCTCCCTCCCCTCCATCTCTCTCTCTCCCCCTCCCCTCCTCTCTCCCCTCCCCCCTCCACCCTCCTCTCTCTTCCTTCCCTCTCTCTCTCCCCTCCCCTTTTCTCCATTCCCTCCCCCCTCTCTCTCCCCTTCATCTCTCTCTCCCCCCTCCCCCTCTCCTCTCTCCTCTCTCCCCCCTCCCCCTCTCTCTCTCCTCCTCACCCCTCTCTCTCTCTTCCTCCCCTTCTCTCTCTCCCCTCCCCCTTTCTCTTCCCCCTCCCTCTCTCTTCTCTTCTCCCCCCCTCTCCCCCTCATTTCTCTCTCTCTCCCCCTCCTTTCTCTCTCTCCTCCCCTCCCCCTCCATCTCTCTCTCCTCCTCCCCCCCCCTCCCTCCTTCCTTCCCCCTCTCTCTCTCCCCCTGCCATCTCTCTCTCTTTCTCTCCTTCCTCCCCCTCCCCTCTCTCTCTCTCTCTCTAACCCTCCCCCTCTCTCTCTCTCTCCCCCTCCCCTCTCTCTCTCTTCCTTCCTCTCCCCCCTCCTCCCTCCCTCTCTCACTCTATCCTTCACTCCCCCTCTCTCTCCCTCCCTCCTCCTCTCTCTCTCTCTCCCCCTCCACCTCTCTCTCTCTCCCCTCCCCCTCTCTCTCTTCTTCTCCCCCTCTCTCTCTCTCTTCCCCCTCTTCTCCTCTCTCTTCTCCCCCTTTCTCTATCCCCTCCCCCTCTCTCCCTCCCCCTCTCTCTCTCTTCTCCCCCTTCTCTATCACCTCCCCTCTCCCCCTCTCTCTCTCTTCTCCCCCCTTTCTCTCTCCCCTCCCCCTATCTCTCTCCCTCCCCCCTCTCTCGCTCTCTTACTCCCTCTCTATCTCTTCCTCCCCCTCTCTCTCCTTCCTCTCTCTCTACCCCCCCCTCTCTCTTGCTCTCCCTCCTTCCCTTCTCTCCCTTCTCCGCTCTCTCTTATTCCCCCCCTCCTTCTCCCCTCTCCCCCCTCTCCCTCTCTCTCCCCCCTCCCCCTCTCTCTCTCCCTCCCCCCTCTCTCTCTCTCCTCTCCCCTCCCCTCCCTCTCTCTACTCCCTCTCTCTGCTCTCCTCCTCCCCTTATCTCTCTCTCTTATTCCCCATCTCTCTCCCCCCTCCCCCTCTCTTTCTTACACCCTCCTCTCTCCCCCCCTTTCCCCCTTTCCCTCTCTCTCCTCCCCCCTCTCCTCTCTCTCTTCCGTCCCTCTCTTCTCCCCCCCTCCCCCTCTCTCTCCTCTCCCTCCCCTTCTCCCTCTCTCTCTCTTACTCTCCCCCCTCTCTCTCTCCCCCCTCCTCTCTCTCTCCCTCCCTCCCCTCTTCTCTCTCCCTCCCCTCTCTATGTCTCTCCCCCTCTCCCTCTCTTCTCCCTCCCCCCTCTCTCTCTCTCCCCCTCCCCCCTCTCTCTCTCTCCTCCTCCGCTCTCTCTCTCTTACTCCCCCTCTCTCGCTCTCTTCCTCCCCTCTATCTCTCTCCCTCCCCCTCTATGTCTCTCTCCCTCCCCCCTCTCTTTCTCTCCCTCCCCCTCTCTCTCCTGTCTGTCTCTCTGACTAGTCTTCATCTGTCTTCATCAGCAGCAGTTATCACCCACACAGTTCAGAGAGTTGATAACGACAGCGCTGTGTCTGTTTGCGTATGTTTGATTTGATTAGGATCTCTTTTAGCTCTCATTTGAATAGTCCTTAAACATTCAAATACAAGTGATAATACAATCATATTTTCACACATAACACAGTGTTACACACAACAGACATAATACCCTGCCATACTGACCAGATAAATACTCTGACTGTCTGAAAAGATAGATTGGTGTCTTCGTCTACCATAGTCCTGCACAACCTTCCAATTTATTATATTTAAATGAATGTATATATTGAAAGGTTTCTGGTTTGCTCAGATAAATTATTCAATTCCTTCATTACTCTAAATGTACTTTTACATGTTTCTCTTTTCTGTCAGGATAACGCATAGATGATCGACAATCTATTCCTAGTATTGACTGAATGTCTGTCTCTTACCAACTGAATGCTGTTGTGAATGGAGTTTTAAATGGTGTACATTGTGAAATAAAATAAGCAAGTTTTTTTCAATGAGCTTGTTGATTGATGACCACCCAAGAGCATTGTGCATGACTACAACAGAATAACCATATCTCCACCTTAAAACAATCCCTTGCTGCTTTGTTCTGTGCAATCTGCAGCCTCCTAATTTCACTTGCTGATGCATTTCCCCAGACCACAGAACAGTAGTTCACCTGACTCCCAATTAATGCTTGGGTTGTCTGCTTAAGAATCTCTCCCGGTAAATATTTAGCTATCCTTCTGATCATGCATGAAGTTTTTAATTATTTTCTTACATATCTGAGTTATTTGAGGCGACCATGATAAACGGTTGTCTAGCTGCACCCCTACTAGTTTGGTTTCTGACATCCCCCCCATGCTTATTCACATCCCTTTTCCTGGTGGAACAGACCAACATAACCTTGGTTTTCTTAGCGTTCAAAACTACTTTGTTCCGGCAAACCCACTCCCTGATATTTTCCCAGATCTACTTGTATAGAGCTTGCTGTACCTGTTGATCAGATTGGTATTGCTGTTTAAATTGTAGTACAATCTGCAAATATAGTAGCAAGAGTTTCATGTAAGGCATAAGGAAGGTAGTTGGTATATATTAAGCAAAGAAATGGCCCAAGGCAGCTGCCCTGCGGTATTCCACAGTTTAAAGCGTGAGGGGAATAAAACAACCAATTGATATAGATGGACTGTTTCCTTTCAGTTAGATATGACTGGACACAATTTAATGCTGCCTCCTTAAACCCATAATACAATAATTTTGTCAAAATAACTTAATGATCCACTAAATGAAATGCTGCACTGAAATCTAAAAATATGACACCCAGAAACCTGCCGTTATCCATAGCATTGAGCCACTGGTCAGTCATGTCAACCAGTGCAGAGGTAGTGGAGTGGTTTTTTTGCGATAAGCATGCTGATTGGCTGTGATTAGATCATTATTTTCCATGTACTCCCATATTTGTTTACTCACAATACCCTCCGGTATCTTACTGAGTGAAGAAAGTAGACTGATTGGTCGACTATTGGCAGGAGTAATGGGGGTTCTTTGCTGTCTTTCGGGATTGGACACAGCTTAGCATGCTTCCATACATTTGGAAAATGCTCCTGTTCCAGTGACTAGTTACATCCTTATTTCAGTGGAGCTACAATCTGGGGAGCAGCATAGCAAAGTCATTTTTTTCCTCCATAAGATCATAACCTGTAGATATACCGTTGGGTAATGACTACAATAGGTTTAACACCTCCTCTACTGACACCAGACTAAAAAGAGCAGGTTTATTTGCTCATAATATGATCATCAATCCATTGGATAATAGCTTGTTTGGGAAGAATGGGTGTTCACATTGTCGCTCAGTGAATTAGTTTTCTTTGTAAAAAAAAAAGAAACAGCAAAATGATTGGCAATATCAGCTGGTTTTGTTATTGTCGTCCATCAATCTCCACACTAGATGGGCTAGATGTACCAAGTAAGGCCTTAACCGTATTCCATACCTTTTTTGAATCAGTGAGCAATTCAATAAATCCTTCTGTAGCGTGATTTAAATCATCCTCTAGATAAATCATCTCCCAGGGTCCAGCAGCCGCATTATTTAGAAATTGTCTCTTCACCACAATCCTTGGTGGTTTTCTTTGGTTCATGGTTATGGTCACAATATTATGGTCTGTCCAGCCCACTGGCATTGACCTGGCCATTGATCATTGCAATGGTATATTACAGAAGATCAGATCAATGCACGTGTACGAACAGAGACCCAACTTAGTTGATGATCTAGTAGTGTCATTAACCATTTGTTTCAAACCACAGCTCTCAGCATACCTCAATAATTTAGTTATATTTGAATTAATCTGATCCTTCCAATTTACATTAAAATCATCCCAAGATAAATACATCTGTGGCCTGGTCAAACCCAGTGCATAAGTCATCCAGATAGGACACGTTAGAGCTAGATAAATACATCTCTGTTACTATCTGTGGCCTGGTCAAACCCAGTGCATAAGTGATCCAGATAGGACACGTCAGATCTAGGAGGTCTACACACACATCTTACCAATATGGCTGCCTGGTGAGGCATGTTAGAGCTAGGAGGTCTACACACACATCTTACCAATATGGCTGCCTGGTGAGGCAGATGAACTTGAGCCTATTGTGACATGCATTAAGGTCATCCCTCCTCTGGGAAAGGTATATGATTCTGAATGTACAACGCTACAACACCACCATTCCTCATCCCGTCCCTTCTAAGTAGTCTATATCCATGCATGTTCATTTGCCGATCATTAACGGATGCATCCAAATGCGCTTTCGGTTAAAGCTAAAATATGAATATTATTTATGTTGACCAAGTTAATAACCTCATGTATTTTGTTAGGAAGGCTACATCCATTAACCTGGGCTGTACGCAGCCCTTTCCTTATGAAGTAAAGACCAATAGAGCTTAGTATTCGTTATAGTTGAAGTCGTCACAAGTGTAGCTCTCAGGTGCCTCATCACGTAGAAACGAGTGTCAAATCATTCAATGGAGAGGCAAGGTCAAACACACCGGTGGTGTTGAAACCCACTGATGGGAATAGTATGCATTTTTTTTTGTTGTTGTTGACATTTTAGTCATTTAGCAGACGCTCTTATCCAGAGCGACTTACAATTAGTGCGTGCATATATTTTTCATACTGGCCCCCCCGTGGGAAACGAACCCACAACCCTTGCGTTGCAAGCGCCACGCTCTACCAACAGAGCTACAGGAGGGCCAATACATCTGTTGTGTTTTCACTGATGATGCTTCCACTGGATACAATCCTCTTAGCTAATGTGATTTATGACTGATGGTTGGACCACTGGCACAGTCACAACCTCCATATTACTAATGTAGACACTGTTGACACCTAGCTAGCTGCAGTTTGTCTCAGTAGCATAATCTGTTGTTGATGCTCACATTACCATTCTATTCTATGACTATCTGGTCAGAAATTGCTGCTGCAGTCTGATGGTATGCTATCATAATAACACCTTTTGAGGGATTAAACACAGTTCTCTGCTGATCCTGATGCAGGTGGTGACACATCAGTGGGTAGAGAGAGGAGAGGAGAGGAGAGGAGAGGAGAGGAGAGGAGAGGAGAGGAGAGGAGAGGAGAGGAGAGGAGAGGAGAGGAGAGAGAGAGAGAGAGAGAGAGAGAGAGAGAGAGAGAGAGAGGGGGAGATAGAGGCAGACCAGGAAATTAATTATTCGAAGAAATTACTATAAACGTTTAATTATTTAACCCAGAGGAAAAACAAGAACAACTCATGGGCGAAGGAGCAATTAAATCGGTATCGTTAAGCAGTAACACATTATTATTGTTATTACTATTATTATTATTGCCCCAAATAGTAGCGGTACGGGTTGTATGGGTCATGGTAACGGTAATAGTTTAATGATGGTGGTGGTTTTAGTACTGATGTAATGGTGATGGTATGGTAGGTAGGTATGGTGTTCTTTGGATGCAACTCAGCATTCTTTGTCCTCCAAACACGGCGAGTTGAGTTTTTACCAAAAAGTAATATTTTGGTTTCATCTGACCATATGACATTCTCCCAATCCTCTTCTGGATCATCCAAGTGCACTCTAGTAAACTTCAGACGGGCCTGGACATGTACTGGCTTAAGCAGGGGGACACGTCTGTCACTGCAGGATTTGAGTCCCTGGCGGCGTAGTGTGTTACTGATGGTAGGCTTTGTTACTTTGGTCCCAGCTCTCTGCAGGTCATTCACTAGGTCCCCCCGTGTGGTTCTGGGATTTTTGCTCACCGTTCTTGTGATTATTTTGACCCCACAGGGTGAGATCTTACGTGGAGCCCCAGATCGAGGGAGATTATCAGTGGTCTTGTATGTCTTCCATTTCCTAATAATTGCTCCCACAGTTGATTTCTTCAAACCAAGCTGCTTACCTATTGCAGATTCAGTCTTCCCAGCCTGGTGCAGGTCTACAATTTTGTTTCTGGTGTCTTTTGACAGCTCTTTGGTCTTGGCCATAGTGGAGTTTGGAGGTTGTGGACAGGTGTATTTTATACTGATAACAAGTTCAAACAGGTGCCATTAATACAGGTAACGAGTGGAGGACAGAGGAGCCTATTAAAGAAGTTGTTACAGGTCTGTGAGAGCCAGAAATCTTGCTTGTTTGTAGGTGACAAATACTTATTTTCCACCATAATTTGCAAAGAAATTCCTTAAAAATACTACAATGTGATTTTCTGGAATTTTTTTTCTCAATTTGTCTGTCATAGTTGACGTGTACCTATGAAGAAAATTACAGGCCTCTCTCATCTTTTTAAGTGGGACAACTTGCACAATTGGTGGCTGACTAAATACTTTTTTTCCCCACATTATGGCTTGTTGAGTGTGGTCTTAGTGTCAGGATTAGTTTGTGGTGGTAAATAGACAGCTACGAAAAATATAGATGAAAACTCTCCTGGTAAATAATAGGTCTATGAGATACTCTACCTCAGGAGAGCAAAACCTAGAGACTTCTAACTACATCAGGAGAGCAAAACATAAAACAAAAACTGCGAGACTTCCTTGATATTAGAGATTGCGCACCAGCTGTTGTTAACAAAGAGACACACCCTTCCCCCCTAACCTAACCTTATCCAATGCTGCTGTATGGTCTTGCCGATACATAGAAAAAACAGCTAGATGTCGATTATCAATGTCCTTGTTCAGCCACGACTCCGAGAAACATAGTATGTTTTTTCAGGTCCCATTGATAGGATAGTCTCAAACGGAGCTTGTCCAGTTTGTTCTCCAGTGATTGTGCGTTCGCCAATGGAATGGAGGGTAGAGGCGGATTATTTATTTGCTGATGTAGTTTAATCAGGGTACCTCTTTTCCTTTTCTGAGTCTCTGGTCTGGTGTGAGCAGTACGTCCTACGCCTCCGACTTGTTGAAGTAGAAATCTTAATCCAAATCGAGGTTAGTGATTGCTGTTCTGATGTCCAGAAGATATTTGCGGTCATAGGAAACAATGCCAGAAACATTATGTACAAAATAAGTTAAGATCAGCGCGAATAAACACGCAAAAGGATTGATCAGGAGAGTAAAAGGCCATCCAATCAAAGAGAGAGAGCGAGAGTAAGGCAGGGAAGGAGGGACATAAAGTAGGACGTTTGATGTTTGAAAACAGAACAGGTTTAATCAGGTTTAATCTTTTACCTAATTTCCTCTATTAACACACTAAATTCTTCTTCTAAACGACTCATCATGATTCTTTCTCCCTTTTCTTTTCCCAACAGGCTTAACAGGAGATGTAACTGACCTAGATAAGAGGAAAGAAGTGTACGGGGAAAACCTTATACCTCCAAAGAAGCCGAAAACCTTCCTCCAGTTAGTATGGGAGGCCCTGCAGGACGTGACTCTGATCATCCTGGAGGTGG